AACATTTGATAAATCCAGATCTCCTACATGTGATGAGGCTGAAGACGAAGAAGATGATGATAAAAAAGATGATGATGATGATGATGAAGGTGATGATGGATTTCTAATAAACACCATCATCCCCACAGACTCTATGCCATATATGATGAATGGCCATTTGACCTTCAGAAGTAATGAGGTCAACTCTAGGGGTATTTGACAAGAGGTGGTGTCTATGGAGTATAGATAGACGTTACCACCTCTTAACCCTATTACTTCTAATAGATGTATTGCTTTTAAATAAAATAATAGTTTTTTAATTACATAAATTTACCATATAAACAGCTAAAAATAATTATTTCAAATTAATTAATTTAAATTAAAATTTGTGATTGGTGTATTACTTCTTCAACATCTTGATAAATGCTTCTTTAAAATATAAAATGCGTGATTTTCAACCTCATAGCTGTGGCGCAATTTTCAACACTTTTGAACCCTGAAATTATCATGCGGCGTCACTATGCTCACTTTTGTTCCATTTCTATTATCAACAACGTCAACATAAAAATAAATATAATAACAAGATGCAGCAACCTACACCAGTTACAAGTACTTTAATATCTTCTTCCTCCTCTTCCTCCTTTACTTCTTCCTTGCCACAAATACCACAATTTATAGTAATTCATGATAAATCACAACAAAATTGGAAACATCCCATTGTACATTATATTTTCGAAGATGAAATAATACCAATTAACATCACGCAAGAGCATTGTATTTTGGTTGGCTTATCTGAAGATGGTGAAAAGGTTGAAAACATGTATTCTTTGAGTCATAATTTTCAAATAACAGGTTATAAAATTAGTTCTACTCCGCAAATGAACAGCAACAATAACAACAGTATCAGTAGTAACAACAACAACAACAACAACAACAACAACAACAACAACAGTAGTAGTACTAATAAAGAAAGCTCAGGCTTAATGTTAACTATTGAAGGAATGTCTAAAACGTAAGAATTGGTTTTTTTCCAATCAAATTACGATTGACTCTTTTAATTAATTAACAATGTTATATAAGTAGCGATAATAATAATAATTTAATGAAAATAAAAAATAGTCAATTTGGTAATAAAGAAGAAGAATCTTCTAATATTTTCAGATTGGAGGAATTAGTTTATGAGTTTAAAAAAAGGTTTGGATTATTCATAAATAAATATGTTCATGATTTTATAATAATTGTATTAATATCGTTATTTATTAGGAATGAATTGTTGAGACAGACTATAGAATTTTCTCAAAATTAATTTTAGCTAAACAAATAAAATAATAATTAATAAAAATTTAAAGGGATTTCTAATTCTTGACCTTTACTAATTGGGTATAATGTGTCCTTTATATATTTACTAAATGTTGATTTCCCTGTTCCATAAAATGAATGGCCTTCAGATGATATTAAAGCATCTAACATTGGTATAAGATAGTCTGCCAATGGTGTCAAGTCATCTGAATTCATAATTCTCAAGATCTCTGTTAAATCTTCTTCAAAATCTCCAAGTACAAATACACATGGAAATGTATTAAAGAATTTAAATAATAAATGATTGGATCTTGGTGATTTGATATCCGTTGCTAAAAATATCACTGTATTTACACCAGAATCACTTGGATGAAGTGATTTCTTGCATTTTATATTTTGTGAGCCTCTTATTTTCAATTTATTATTATCATTCATATTTTGTATATCTCTTATTTTCAATTTATCATTATCATTTATATCTCGTTTTTTCAATTTATTATTAACCTGTGCAACTTTGTTTTTATTACCATGAGGATTATATTCACCAAGGTCTACACTCTCATCTATTAAAATATCTTTTTCGTGTGTACCACCTTCCAACACATCTATTTCTTCTGGTGTAAGTTTAGTAAACGTGTTTGTTAAATTATGGTAAATGTGATCAATATTTAATCTTGCATATTTCATGAAAAACCCATCTGTTGCTCGTATATGCAGTCCTATAAAATTACCCACACCTCCCAATTTGTTTACTATACTTTCTGTTGCTTTCAATACTAATTCATTATTCGGTACTAAATGTTTTCTAATGAATTTAAGATATTGCATATTGGAAGGTTTCTCTGGTACAACCCTCAATGATCCAAATAACGATCCAAAATGTATCAATTTCTTTGGGTCTTCTTTCAATTTGTCAGTATACAAGAATCTTGTAAATTTATTACTATCATCTATCCTACTACCTGTTGTATCAAATATCCTATAATCCCATAGTTTGTTATCTCTAATAAAACGTACATCTTTGGAAATATCCAAATTAAGATTCTCCTCAATCCATTCATATGAATGGTCAAATCGATCAATTATTTTCTGCGACTCTCTAATAGGCTCCATCTCCAACAGGAAATCCCATGAAACTCTTGTGTATGAATAATAATTTAAGCATTCAGCGGGAAGTGGAAAATCTCTTGGCACTTTGGGACAATGTTGTAACCCTTTTTTTGTGGCTAGAAACAATCTTTCATACATTTTATCAAATCTTATCCATGGTAACGGTGTTCCAAGCAATGCAGGTGGCATTAGTAGTGTACGGTTTAATATTTTTGCAAGCAACAATGCATTCTCAAGGCCCACGCGTTGATTATGATATCCACTGTGAGTGTAATATGCTAAGAATTTTTCATCAGGATTTATGGTATATTCTCTTTCTTTTAATGCTTTAACACCCCGATAATTTATCTTAGTTTTCAGTGATGTTGATGTTTTTTTTCCTGAATCAGAATAATAATAATTTTTTGTGGTTCTATCTGAAAATTTACTTAATAAAGAACTGATTATGAGTATAATTAAAATTAAATATATTAATATCCTAGTTCTGCTTGCAGCCATTATTTTTATTATTGGTGGTGAAATAACAGAATGGAGAAAATTTTTAGAGGCGATAATGTTAATGGTTAAAACGAATGTTTTTTGAATATAAAAGTGAAAGTAAAGGGTATGTATATTTTTATTTTTAAGGTATTATAAAATATTATAAATATTTTTTTTCTTTCAATAATTAATTAATGTAACAAGAAAAATTTTGGAAAATCACCCTTGCATTGTATCATTGGTGTAACGGTTTTACAATTACACAAAAGGTTATTTAATAATATTCAAATAAACTTTGTAATGATATGTAAAAAAAAATATATAGTTTCTACTTGTGGCATCTCTAATGAAATAATTTCTATTAGAGGCAAAAGTATTTAAATAGTAACTTTTTCCAATACAATCACAGATGAGACTCTACCATTAGATGTAAAATACACAGTGAGTCTCAGTATAGCAGATAATTTGGGCAATTAGAACAAAAATTTCAAAAATCTGTTATACTGAGATTAATTCAAGATTTAATTAGTAAATCTGTTAAACCAAGAGAATTTACTTATAGATGGTTCTGAGCTTTGATCCGTTAAACCGAGAGTTTTATTAGACATCCGCTATACCGAGACTTACTGTGTAAAGCATAGATTGTTGTTTAAACATGTGGCATCTCTGATACATCAATACCTAAAGAGGTATTCTTTATGGAATTATTAAACTATTTTATATAAAATTTAATTACAGGCAAGTAATTTCTTACTCTATTATGAATAAAGGCTATTGTTTATATTACAAATTTAAGAAAGACTGCAGGTAAATGTAATTTTTATTGAATAGAATATTGACATCTTATTTATCTATCTATTAATACTTGTTTTTATTAATAGTTATATATGCAATTATTATTTGAGTACAACATAATATGATGAATGAACACAGATATACTATTATTACATATTATCACTTTATAATCAATTCATAAATAGAACATTATGCAAATTTCTTTGATTTAACTTTCTCTAACATAATGGCATCAAATATAATAATGGCAAATTAAAATTAGTAGTAGCATTAGCAGTAGCAGTAACAGTAACAATAGCAGTAGAACAAGAATAAGATGACAGTGGTAGGTAGTGGTAAAACTCTTGTGTATATTTACTAAGGTTTCTGGTAAGGTTTCCAGCCAAAACTCTTTCAATTAGTAGCTGAAATTGCCAAAACACTTTGGGCAAAAATAACTTTTTTATAAGCCCAAAATATTTTTTGTTATTAGCCGAAATTGGGCGAAATTACTTTAAAGTTGTTTAAGTTAAAATAAGTCGATTGGTGTAGTTTTTTAATGTTCATGTTATAAAAAATACTGAGAAGCCCAAATTGCCCAAACTAGTTTGGGCTTTGGTAAAACAGTTTGGACTGGAAACCTTAGTTTCTGGTCCAAACTATTGAATCAACTTGTTTTAACTTAATTCGTGATCTGCAAAATTTTCATAACAGAATTTGGCGCAAAATTTTGCAGATCACTAATTAAAATTTTCTGGACTCCAACTTTCACCCCCAAAGTGACCACCCTTTATATCTATATAAACTAAAATTGTACTTTTAACACATGATATGAATCTCGAAGTTTAAATATACAAATTTTCAAAGGGACTTTCTTATAAAATATTTTATGTTTATATGTAGGAATCGCTGGATTCCTGCCTAAAATTACTATATAAAATTTAAAGGTTTGAGTAAGCAACTAAAAATATTTATGATGTAAAAATGGGTGTAGAATTAATTTTATCCAAGAAAAATATAAATATGTTATTTCTATTTAGTTTTTAATAGTTACTCTTTTTAAAATAAAATAAAAATTGTTGTGGTTGTGTAATTTTCTTGACTCACGTTGGTCACGTGAGGTAATGTCAGATTCTCAAAACTCCTGAAAATTATATTAATGATCGGCAAATTTTTGCAGTTGTTTCACAGATTACGAATTAAACAACTTTAAAATAATTTCGCCCAATTTTGGCTAGTAGTTTGGGCTTATAAAAAAAAAATTTTTGCCCAAAGTATTTGGGCAATTTCGGCTACTAATAGAAGCAGTTTTGGTCAGTAACCTTAATATTTACACATTAAATTTTTTGTTGGGAATTTCTGGTTCCAGTGGGAACAGTTTGGAAACATCACTGGAGCATTGGACCACTGGGACCAATGAAAAATCTGTAAATTTTATTTTTAATACCTATATTTACATGTAATAATGAAATAAATATGGGTAATGTCACTGCCACTATATTAATACAGTTCTTTTTCTTTTGGGTCAGACTTTATGACAAGCTTGAATGATGTCAATTTTTCACAATAATTATCTTTTTTTTGTACATGGCTCCATGTGATGAGATCATATGACCATTTTGTAGATGTTCACCTTGTGACTTTACTTACAAGTTCCACAGGCGGAAAACTTTTGGATGCTTTGCAAATATGTTGTAACAAAAGAGAGATAATGGTTAAAAGTAATTGTTTAGCTAACTGCAAAGCCTGCATACAAATAAAAGAGTGGGAATGGTCTTACATAATGTTACACAATTAAAATTTTCTAATACTGTTCCATCTATTGGTAAACACTTAATTAATTGTGAAAACTTTGCAAACTATTAATCCAGATAAATTGGAATCAGTAAATTCACATTTAGAAGTGAGACAAAAAAGAATTGAATCAAGATTAAAAAATAGTATAGAAATTGATGTTGATGTTGATGTTGATGTTGATATTGATTGTATATATTTTATATTATCATTGGATTAATTGCAATAATTAATAATATTTTATTATGTTTGTTTATGATCTTACAACAGAATTGAACAATAATTATGATAATTCATCTATTACACCCCCTCCATCTGAAAGTTCTAATTCATTGATATTTCACCATCAGGAAAATAGGTACAAATATTATGTGTATATAATACACAATTGCAGGGATTAAGCATATAATATGCGTACAAATCGCGTATTTTTTTATGTATGCAAATTGTACATATATTATATGCTTAATCCCTGTAATTGCGTATTATATACGCATAATATTTGTACCCATTTTCCTGATGGCCTTACTGCTATGGATAATTCTGGTCGCAACCTTTCCATGAACATTCTTGCTTTGACTCTATTTGGATAGTTGCTTCCCCCATGTTCAATTCTCCTGAACATTCGTATATGTGTGCTGCGAAAGCATCTACTGTCTCTCCAGGTAATTGTCTTCGTTTTTCTAATTCAGCTGCCCAACCTTCTTCCATGGCTCTAGTTCTATATCTAGTTTGGAAATTCAGAACAAAGCTTGCTGCAATTGTATTAGCATCATTAGCATCATTCCAATAGTATATATTTCCTCTGAATTGAGTCCATCATGTAGCAGCTCCTCCTTTTAATCTTGGTACTGTTACTGCTAATATTCTATCATCTGCTACTCTATTCGTTACAAAGGCTTGTTCCATTTCTTCCAACCAAGTGATTGGGTCTTGGTCTCCCCTATAGTATTCTGGGTATTTCACATCGTTCAATTCAGTGGGTGCTGCTGCTGGTGGATATTGTATTTACCGCTTGGATTATTGCAGCTGCCAAGTTTTGTAAAGCTTGTTGATCCATTTGTATTAGATTTTGTTGTTGGTGATTAGGTTGATTTACTTGATTAAAAAGTTGGTCGAAACTAAATGTTGATTCGTCTGAGTCACTGTCTGAGTCACTTTCCGAATTTGAATCTCTAACTATTATTGAGTTGCTACTTTCACTAGAGTTATCTTCTTCTTCTGTTGTAGGTTCTGGAGAACTTCGTCTAATGCTATTCTAAAATGGTGAGTTCCTCTAGCTGCTAAAGAGTAATTCTATTTAAACTTCTTGGATATACTCTATACCTAATACTAATTAGTAATACTCTGAGGAGTTGTATTAGTTGAACTGGTCCTTGTTCTAATAATATCTGTTCGAAAGTGGTTACTGTTTCTGAAGTGCACTATATCGCCTGATATGTTTCTTGTACCCAATCCCAAAAGATTAGAAATTGTGGTGAGAAATTCCGATTGATAGGGTGACAAATGGAACAAGATATATCTTTATGTGCTTGTGATATATCCCTTACGTGTGGGTATTGTTGATGTACTTGGTTATGGATCATTATGTTTTCCTAGATGATTTGGATTGTTTCTTCGCTTGGATCTATGTTCATTCAATTAATCCTCGCAAGGATCTTCGTCGTAAGGCACTTCGTCAGGAATATCGTAAAAAGGAACTTCTTTCTGAAATATAAATTATTCCTTAATTATTTTATTGCAATTCTCTTCCAAATGCACCTTTCTTTTGCAGTAGTTGCAAGATAGTTTCTTTTGGAAAACAAATTCAATCCCTTCCTCCTCAATTAATCCATCTAAGTTGCAATTTCTTTTTATATGGCCTTTGATCCCGCAGGAATAACACTTCTTATTTGAGTGAGGATTTCTAGATGGTTTTTCTCCTTCTTGATGACCTAGTTTGAATAGTTGATCCGGATTTTCAGCAAAATATTTATATACTAAATTAATAAGTTGTGAATCTTTTGTATTTCCTTTAAGGATTTGTTGATAGGCACATTTGAAAATTTCTGATTTTAATTATTTCAGAGTTGTGTTCTCTCAATTGCATTAGGGTTCTTTAAGTGAAATAGAAAGAAAATGTTTAACCTCGTAATGTTGAAATAAAAGATATATAGTAAAATAAAAATAAAAAAAATAAAGCTATCTCGCAAGGTAATAATAAAATAAAATAAAAATAAAATAAAGGAATTAAAATAATTCAAAAAGAATTAAAAATTTATGCAATTAAAAGAATTCCGCATAATTTTATTATAATTTATCTTCTTAGGTGTAAATTTCCACACAACTCGCACCAAGTTGTCACCGATTAAATTTGGGAGAGCGTATTTTAATTGGTGATAACAATTATTTTTGTTTTTGCGTGGACATTCCAACTCTTCCTTGGATAAATAATGTATAGCTAAATTTTT